AATGAAAATGAATGGAATATATAGCTGAAGAATAAAAAAAAGCGAACCTTAGAGTATATTCCAAATTAAGCTCTCTCTCTTATCTATTTATTTATTCAATTCAAACAAGTTAAGAATGTTTTGGCTGTATAATAGTAGCAAAAAACTGTCAGAATTAAAAAAAATATATATATTTCTTACGTTTATATTGCTTGAAAAATCAAATAAATAAATCCGGATTATAAAAAGAATTAAAATAATATAATTTTAATGTCTTTGTAAAAGAAAATAGTTGTAATTAATATTTTTCCTAATTTATGGCAAAAACTTTTGATCGTAAATACTCTGAAATCAACTGCAAGAAACAAAAAAAAAAACGAGTAATTTACAAAAAGAGAGATAGAGAGACAGAATATTTTTCTACAGTTTTTAGTAAATAACTTTTAGACGAGTGGATCTAAATCAAGTTTTGCACAAATATTTATTACAGTTTTCTTAATATATGTGAAATTTTTTATTTCGTGACAATGTTTTTTCCTTGTCAGATTTATCAATAAGTGCTACAATACGTGATTTTCCATAAGAATCAATACTAACTTTAAACTTAAATAATTTCCAAACCGTTAAGAGAATTGTGCTCAGGTTTTGCACAGACACTCAAAAGAAATAGTAAAACAATTTCTACGAAATTTCTATGCTTTTGTCAATGTTTTGACATATGACACATACATTCTTAAGAGATTTTAATATCTAAAATAAAAAATTGCATTCGGACGAAACAGCAACTTTGTATAAAACGATAAAGGTCATTTTATCGAGTAGTTCCTATTTCATACCACGGATATTCAAGGTTACGAGAACTTTTTGGTCCCACTCTCTCTTCATTTCCCGTAAAAGCGAACGTAAACCACAGGATGCGCATATCACCGGCAACCAATTCGGAATATACCAGACACATCGTGTTCGGCTAGTCGATAAGCCGGCCACTGCAATCTGGGTGATGATCATACCGTGTATTCTGAAAGTGCTATTGCAACGTGTCGATCTACCGGGAAACACAAAGCCACCGCTAACAGCTCACAGTTAGAATCACATACTCATCCTCGCGATTGTGTTAGGGATATCACGATGGCGTCTCCTCTAGTCTCTCTTACGTCAAGGTGGACTTGATACAATGATTCATACACGATTATGTAGTTGCTTACGTTTTTTCTCAAATATATAGAAGCAGCAAGTGAGATTATGATAGCTTGAGAACTATGTCTAATCAGTAAATTATATCTTTATATTTATATATAAAAAATATTTTTTTTAAATATATAATATTATAATATATATTATTTTTTATAAAACACTAGAGAGAGAAAATTATATTATTGATGTGCTATATTACTTTATATCATTTCGTATGTTTAACGAAATATTGTTATATATTCGAATGTTATTCCGTTTGAGAACAATATGTGAATGTGTACATGTAGAAACATACATATATATAAACAGTATATTTTATCGTTACCGTATGCAACCAACTTGCAAACTTATACTTTTAAAATAATGAAATTCCTGAAAAACGTCTCGTCTCACAGAGATGCAAATATGTACGGATAAATTTGCATTTAGATACAATCACCGGAATCTGTATCGGCTGTTTAGCTATGTAAAAGGATACACGAATTTTCTGAGAATCTCCCAAGAAATGCCTACATGCTCGATCGTATAACGATGAGCAAAAATGAGATGCGATTATTCATCGAATTTTATCTAGGGCATAGCTTGAAATTCGAGTCTTCGGTCGTTATCTTCAGGCTCGGCAAGTTTACCGTTCGTCCCTGCCACGGGGTAAACCTGTAACGCCGGGGGGTTATCGAATCGCTTCCGTACATAATGGCGCGCCATGTCGCGGATCTGCCCCTGACACAGCGACGTGGATCGATGAAATGCAAAGCACCGACGGCGTCGCGACGCCCCGTTCGCGCTCGCTCTCGTCTCACCGGATGGCCGGCCGGCCGGCGTCGCAATTTGCGAACGTAAACGAAATTATCGGCCGAACACGGGGCAAACGCCGCTCGTGTTCGCCCTCGCTCGCCGATCGCGGACCAATAATTGGGTTAGCGCGTACATTTTCAGAACGTATCGCTCTATAATAAATGATCGTAATGATAGTAACAGGCTGCGTCGTTCGCGCGCATAGCGAATACCGCAGTCAATAATGCGACGGCTAGTCTCGTGACGCAGTTTGTATAAATGTGTTATAGTTATTCTCTGCGTGTTTTAGAGACGCGTCATATAAAGCCTTGCACATTCTGAATATCTAATTATATAGTAATGAGTATTTTCAATTATCAATCCAAAATGTTATATACGATCTTTGGATGAGACACAACAATAGAATCTATAATTAGATAGCTATATTTAAATCTAATGTATTAATAACTTGTTAATCTTCTTTATTTCTATGTAGAGATTATTACCAGGTTATAGTAAAAAAAAAAAAAAGAAAATAGTTTTTTTACACATTGAGATTTCTTTTTAAAATCCCAGTGTTTTCAAATACACAAAGATTGCACAAAAATGACTTATGCAATTGGGTAGATGCGTGCTCCTCTTGCGTTTATCTATAAATAACAAAAGTATTTCTAAAATATTTCCTTATTCCCAAAAAATAAATACTTAATTTTTTTTAATTTTTACATTTGAAAACGTCAACATTTATCGTTTTGTCGTGTCGATTTTTATTCGGGCGCTACCGATATTTCTCGCCGAGATACGTCAATCCTGAATCCCGAAGAGCATACTTGAAGCGTGACCTCGCTTATGGTTGCAGCGTGCACGATGCATGCCGATATTTACCAGGTGCGGCTCTGAAACCGCATGGAAACGTCGTCGCACGATCAAAACAAGCGCGTCGATGGCAGCAGGTGTGCGACGTACGTATTTCTTTGTGTTTTCTTGCGAAATTCGATATCTGCACGAGATATTTGATACAACCGGGTGGAGATGCGATCTTGTCGATGGACCGCTTAGACGATATAGGTGACTTCGACAAGACGATCATATGCGGTCAAATGTTATTCAGGATTATCACAAATCTGGGAAATCCGAGAAAAACAGAAAAATTTAAAAAAAAACTCCATGGAAAAAATTATTTGGTTGGATATTAAGCACTTATTAATCGAGTCTCTATTCAATAATAATCAATAAATTATTGAATATTGCATACGTCATAAATTGTGAACATGTATTATAAACATAATATCATGTTACAGATACATAGATATTTTATTTTCTATATTTTATTTAATTTCTTTGAGGGAAAAAGCTTATCTCACAAGTCTTCTTAGAAATCTCATATATATATATATATGGTTAAGACTTTTTACAAGTCGAACGGAGATAATGACATATATAAAAAAATAAGATGTGTGTATAACGCAAAAATAAATTACGTGTAATTTCTCGTATTTTTCTTGTATCGTAATTCAATATAATTATAATGAATATCGGAGCCTGAAATGATACTGCAATCTTTATACATTATAGCACAAAATTATCCCTTTTGATATGATCTTATAATAATCGTTTCGCTCAGGCGCTTGCTGAAAATAATCACAACACCCGATACAACGAAATTAATATGTTCTCTACGGCGATAAACGAGCACATAACTGTCCACAATTGCTGCCATGCCTCCTTGATGCGTTAACGTATCAACCGAGGATCGTCTGTAATTATCGGACATTATCGAGTGATATAATTAGTCAGTTGAGTATTATGGAACGATGTAATTACGCTGCTACTCTCTTTGATACGACTTCCTGTCTGCGCGAAATATTTATCGCACTTGATGTTTACATATCTTGCCTCGTCGTTAAAATTATCGAGATTCATGATTTTTCAATCGTCATCGTTACAATGAATGTATGTATAATATATAAATATGATATATGATATATATAATAGCTTTTAAACGCTCTTATTTTATTTCAATTTTAACAATCGACTTTTTTATTACATTTTTTTAGTTTTTTTTCTTAAATATAAAATATATTGCCAATTTTCTTAAAGTTACAAACATAGTTTTTTTTTTAAATCAGATATAATAATGAGTGATGACTCAGATATAAAGATTAATATTATTAAAATATCATAGAAAGTTATATATATACACTTGAAATAAAACGTCTCATTACGGAGATTTTACTTTGAGAACGTTGACATTAAATTATTGGATGAGATTACAGGCTATTGTCGAGCAGGTGAAATGAAATGGGTTTATGTCGTGGTCTTTAACACGTTTTAACCGAATCAGCATTTGTTCCCGTTACGTTTTCCTCTTCAAAATAACGAATTGGTCTGCAAAATTGAATTAGTCTTGCAGAAATCATGTATTCAGGACAATTTAAACTAGCGTTAAATAAATGCGAGGTAAAACTAGAATGAAAAATAAAAATTTTTGATATTCCATAAAAAAATTATCAAAATAAGTTAATCAGCGTTGATTGTAAAGGATATCCTTATTTGACTTATTATTAATAATTTATTAATTGATGAAGATAAATTCTCCTTTTTTTCCTGGAAAAATATAAATGCAAAGCATTCTTATAATTATATGACATCTTATAAATAAATATTTACTGTATCATAATCGATAAACTTTGTTACTAATTACAAGTAAATTTATATTTAATAGGAAAAGAAAATAGATGCTTATATTATCGAAAAAAAGTATATACCCTGTATATTTTAGTTACGTCGTAGAAATAATTCAATCGTCTCTTTTCGCATCTTTTTAGCCGCTTTTATAGCCAAATACATTTTTTTTTCTTAAACGAGCTAGGCATTTTTTTAAATCAGGTAGTTGCGTAAAGCGAATAAACTATTTGCATTTTCCTGTGTGTCAAAGATTTGAATTCACGCGAGTAAGTACACGTTTATCGAGGCGGAAAATGTTTTAACCACCCGTTTCCTCCTCCCGTCTATACGGCAGCTCAAATATTTTCTCTTACTTTGTGTTGCAGGCGGTGTCAGAGAGGCTTGAATTGGCACCAGCTGGTGGAAGATCAGAGCCGCAGGTGAGTATCGTGAGAGAGTTTGCTCTAGCCTTATTCCTGCTTTAAAAAGGAACACCGCGAAATTATATCTTCTCGCGAAAATTTATCGTTGCTCCCGTTCAAATTTGTTATGTAATTTATTTTCCTCGAACGAAATAAAATAATTTTTATGTTTAATTAGACTATCGGAATTAAGATTTTTTCTGTTTTATGAAGTTTATTAAATGTTGCAATAACAAATTACACAGATTTATATTTAATATAAGATAATAAGAATAAATATTTTTTCTATAGATTATTCTATATTTTCAACTTTATTTTATTATAAAAAAAAATGTAAGAGAGAGAGCGAGAGAGAGTATATATTTTTAAAACAATATTTTAGATTTAAATGGAATAAAATTTGAAAAATATTTTCTATAGAAAAATATTTGTAAATGGTTGTAAACAAAATAATTACAAATAAATAATTTTATAAATAATTTATAAATGTACGCATACAATGGGGCATTGTCTTTAACAGATAACTCGCGATGATTGTAATAATAAAAAATATTATTGACTTTTTTGTAATATCTATTTGCAAAAAAGACAAAGATTGATTCGTTCGATAATTAAGATGAATAATTACTTGAGAAGCAAAACACTTTGATAAAGTTGTTGACTGAGCCAAATGTGTTTTCCGCTTTGAAGCTAATGTGCATACTTTCAATGACCGTATCTTTCCTCTACGTAAGGTCGCTACCTTGTGCGAACCTGGCGAGGTGTACCTTGCTCAGCATATGGGAGAGCAGGGTCGATGGGTCTCTTCGACCGATAAGAAGAGCTGCATGACGGATAAGCTCGAGATCCTGGAGTATTGTAAGAAGGTAAGAAAAAAAAGATCTATAAGATCACGCAACCATTAAATTCTTTCACACGTATAATGTCGACGTTAAATACGTATAGTCGATTAAGAATTATATATAGACATTAAAAATAGATCTTTGACATTTTTCTACTATCATCGAACTTTTTATTCCTCTCTTTTGCATCATTTCTCTATTCTACAAAGTATACGAACGCGTATAAATATTTTGCTCGTGAGATCACTTCAAGCTTTCTTAAAAATAACATTTTCCATTGAACACATTTATTTCTCGTTATTACATGCGCGAAAAATACTCGGTTTCACAGTTTTATCCTTAAATCTTTGAGATTTTGAAAAGATTGAGAACACATTATAAAATAAATAGGTAAAGAAAGAATAAAAATATGTTAAGATCGTAAAAATAGATAAAACGAAAATGAGAATATCGCACGCAATTTCCATTCTAGATCTTTCACAAGTAGAGCACGGTGAAAGGCAAGACTAACTCTTATGGATTACCGGATAATAACGTTCTCCGTCTCGTTTATACGACACGTTCACGCAATCCACTATATGCATAAGAGAGAGAGAGAGAGAGAGATAAGCGTGTGCAGCTTGCACATGCGTACGTGCTCGTATTTGCTTATGCACGAGCACGAAGAAAAGTGACTGTTTCATGCGCCGGATATATTGATCGATAAAAATCGCCGTCTCGCTCTCGTCGCGAAAATACGAAAGTGTATAAATTATTCGAGACGGCATTTAAATTATCGAAACAACGTCAGGTGATCGAGATTCCGAAATCGTTCGCGATTCCTTCGATCGAGACTCGTGTCTAGAGAAAGAATCGGGCCGCTGCGAACGATGATTGATGAATTAAGGCTTGCGGCGTGTTATTTAACATCGCGCCTGCCAATGGCCCGCAGGCATGATTAAGAAGTCGTTTAATAATCTTCCGGTCCCGTATAAATTGAATTTTCATCCCTTCGTTGACGCGCTTCAGTCTCGACAAAACACCGAATTACGCGGTTCGTTACCTTCCCTGCCGTTCTTCGTGAAAATAACGTTAATCTTCGCCAATGACTTTATCGCGCGAGATTGCACAGGTTGACAATTGTTGCATCGTGAATTATTTATTTTGACATGCCTTGCCTAAATTTCTTGATGCGTAAAAAGAATCGTCAAGAATTATATATATAAAATACTCGTATAACATTTCTTAATATTCTTTTCTCATTCAAGTTCCATGAGTAGTATATAACTTCCTTGTATATTTTACTCTTATGAATTTAACAAATAAATCTTTAACTTTTGAACTCTACATCCAACTTATAAAAAGTACAATATATCGTATTCTGGACTGTTATCGATCTGCTGTGAGACTAACGTCACAAGCTGAGTCTATTAGATATAATTTGCACATTAAGCGAATATCACGTCGCAAAACAGCTTGCACGATAAGAATGCTTTTTGCGGTCTTTTAAACGGAGATGAATAGATAAATTGCCGCGCTCGTTTGCAGTAATAACAGGTTTGCCGAGTGCGCATATTTCCTCGATAATTACCTTTATAGACGCGCGATTACAGTCTGGTCGAACCATCTGTTAATCATACTTTCCAGGCTTACCCGAAGAGAGATATCACCAACATTGTCGAGTCGTCGCACTACGTCAGAGTCGGCGGATGGTGCAAGCCTGGAAGGAACAAGTGCAAACTTTCGCGATGGGTCAAACCTTACAGATGTCTGGGTGAGTAATAACGATGATATTTTTATGTCAAGTAGCACGAAAATTTGACACTATCTATCGCACAATTTTTCGCAAATTTTTTTACGTCAATGTCACAAATACCTCCCGCGAGATCAAAGATTAAAACTTTTATAATTTTAACGGATTGAATCTTTTATGTCCTAAATACCCGAAGAAGGAGCTTACATTAATTTTCATATATCTTGTCAGGAATGTCACGATGTACTAGGTTTCTGACATAAAGTAATAATTTATCGCAAACGTACCACGACATAAATAAATTCCTCGGAGAAAAGGAGATGACATAAGTCAATATAATGATGTAATTGATACATTTGTATTTGCTTCAAAATTTATTATATCTCAGTCAATTGATTGATTGATAGTGAGATAAAAACATTTATATAATACATAAACAGGATATCTACTACTTGGAAAAACATGGAAAACCTGGAATTCTCAGTGATTTTTTTGTACCTGCAAAAATCAGAGAATTCTCACGGTATTTTATCGAGACTCGGGGAATTTTTAAAAAAATTATCTCTTTAATAATTTTGCTCACATTGTAAACAGTCGGCAAGCCAAATGAATTATGCGTTTAAAATATATTATAAATATATATATCTATCTCTCTGTTTATATATTCAATGTTTTAACAAAATATTGAATATGCAGTCTATATTCTTTATTGTAATTTTCAGTGATAAAAAAATGAAAATGTTATGCAAGTGAAAAATATTTGTCTTACGATGTTTAACTTATTCAATTTTTTTTAGTACATTTACAAATCTAGTACTTGAAACTTAAGAGGCTCTGTTTTTTTCTTTATATGAGTGAAAAACATTAGAAAGCTCATATAATAAAAAAATTTTTTTTAGGAAGTTGTACCAAAAAAAATCTTTATAATATTCTCTTTACTTGGAATTTCGAACAAAAATACCTGGAAGATCAAGGAATTTTCAGAGATTTTTTTTTACAAGATTTGAGTAGACACCCTGATAAAAAACGGTTTGATAATCGTAAAACTCTTCGCGGTAGACTTTGCGATAATGTCTGATCTTTGGTTTGCTTTAAAATTGTAAAAATATATTGATTCCGAGGGCCATTGCTATGGAGGAGTCGACCAATCGGTCGTGAGCTCATCGATAATGCGGTAGCGGCGGCCATGAGAAATAGATAGATCGATCTCTGACGGCGGGGATTTAGTTATAAATTTAGCAGGACGCTCGATCTGTTCTGGAAGAATTCAATTTGTAGAGTCAATACGCTATGTAACGGACAACGCGATATCTGCTGTCGGATTGTCCGCTCAGCTACCTTCCTGATCAGCCATTTTATCGCGCTCAAGAACGAAAGAACTATCGCAAACGTGACATCGCGCAGCACCAGGGTTCAAGAAATCGCACTTACTTTTTTTTCTTTTTTTGTATGATGACTCACTTCCAAAGCAATTGACAAATGTAGCGGGTATCTTCATTTCACCTTATAAACCTTTTTTCCGTGCAATTAAATGATTCACTGCAAGAGAGAGGTAAGTTTATAATTTAATAGAATTTATCTTAGATCTCTCTCTTGATGTTAATTAAAGTGGATTTTATAAATTATAAATTGATTCCGTTCTTGCTCTGAACTCTTCAACTTGCATGGAGTACATAATTGTGGAATATTCTATAAACCAAATAACGCGAACTTTGATGAAACCGGTAGAAAGATATTGGACAAGATTCATTAAAATATAAAAAAGATATATTTATACAATTTACTTCACCATTGAGAATATTGCATGTTTTTTTTTAAAGAATTATATTTTAACATATTTTTAATTAAAATAGTAATTGCAAATATGTATCGTAATTCGATATTGAAAACTGCAAAGTTATGGAACGATAATAATTTACTTTCAATAAAAGTCCGCTTCAAGTTCGCTTAAGAAACCACCATTAAAAGTTTGATCTGATACTTGTGTACTTAACATATTTTACAATGACTCAAAAGACAGTGATTTTTTTGTTTCTAATTGAAAATCTACATCTAGATATATCTACATCATTAAAATAAATAATTAAATGAAAATGTGTAGATAATGTAATGACACGATACACATTATCGGTGATATATTTTCTTAAGTGAAAAATCTCGTAAGATACGACAATTATTTATTCGTACAGAAACTGGGACGAACGTAGATTTTGGAAAACTTCGAACTCTACTCCATTTCGAGTGCACTATTAAAGCGTGGAAAACCATGCCTCATTTTCTAATTCTGTCAGATAAATGTCATTATTCCGGTAAATTGGTCACGAGTGTATAAATGATGGTCGCGTCCGCTTAATGTCTGCATCTAATTGTCTTCATTAATTTCTTTATCTAATATTTTTATGCAAAACTGATTATAAAGTATCAGGTTTTTTTTTATATTGTATTTAGTAATTAAGAACAATAAAATAGAGGCATTAGCAGCCAGCGTAGTGTATAGGGCACAAAGAAAATTAATGATTAAAGCATATAATGGCTTCTAATGCCTCTGCTCTTAGTTATTAATATTTTGGAGCCTTTTGTCAATTTTTGACATTGTATTTAATTTTCCTTCAACAATATTTATAAAATAGAAAACGCGTTCTCTAAATAAAATAGTAAATAAAAATATATATCTACATTTAACTTTTTATTATACTTTCACATTTTGGTGGGAAAGAATGACATGCGAAATATACTCGAACAAATCAGGCAATGGTTAATACCCTCGAAGGGTCTGCGTGACCAGCTCTATTGATCAGCCCTGGTGAATGTACCGATGCGTCATTCGCTAGACGCGTTTCCATTCCGCTGTCTGTCTGCTCACTTCTTTCCTTTGCATATTCTTCTATGCATTTATAAAGCTCTGTAGCAAGCAACGATACATGTAGACAAATACACTATCGGGAAATTCAGTCGTTGTTTACTTTTTATATGCATCTTTACTGAAATGTTTCTCAAATGTAGGCATACGATTGCATATATATATATATATAATTTTTAATATTCTTTTTAATATTCAAGCAGCATGATTAAATCCTGAATTAAAATACTGGAAAATCAAAGTTTTTATTTGCATTTAAATAAAAAACAAAAATTTGTTATTTGCTTATATTCTAGAAGCTTTAACTCACAAAAAATAACTATTTATCATCTGAAAATATTAGTACCTTGATTATTAGTACCTTGACACTTTAATTTGAGATAAATTAATTCTATATCATCGAATCTTTCTCTTTCTATTATTAAAATTGTAATTAAGAATTCTGAGAAAACCCCAATGTATGAAATATACAAGGTGTATAAATGCATATTGAATGTCTACATGTGCCGAATTCTACTTTAAAATGCATTAATTAAAAATTAAAGTGTGCAGGATAAATAAAACTTATTTTAAATAGACATTTCGCATGTTTGAAGATAGTCATATAGATGGATTCGGCGAGTATTGATTTCATATATTTTGACATATGTAACATATCTATATACACGGATGTATAAATAGTCGTCGACAAATTTATACTTTGACTGCTGTAGCAATATAACTGAATTTTTTCTTTAGAGATATATATATATAGAGAGAGAGAGAGAGAGAAAGAAAGAAAGGAAGGGAAAG